CGTATATCTTGGGATTATTTTGGACAAAACCTTTTTTTAACAAGTCTCCTCCCAGAGTTTCAAGTGAAGTGGGTCGGAGATAATATTTCGGAATGAATGAACTGATTTGAGATTTTCTTTTCAATCAATTGAAATGATTTAATCCTTTTTAATTTGCACATGAAGAATCTAGCTATAATTGAGATCTTGAATAAATTTTCATTTCTATTATGTAATGTCATATACTTCGAATATGTGGATGTCTAATTGCAATTGGAAGAAATCACAAAATTTATTACTGGGAAAAGAACATTTTAGTATTATTTCTTTTCTTTGATCGACAAAAAACGATACGTGTAAAACAGTATGGGAACTATAATTATATCAATAGGAGTGCTATTCAACAAAAAATTTATTGAAAATTATAAAAGTAGATGAAGACTATGAGTTTAAAAGCAACATGTGTCAAACAATTCTGAGATAAGAGTTGGAATTAAAACAACAGTTTCTCGTTTTTGAATTGGAGAGACTGTGGAACATAAAATGTTAGGAAGCATAAAACTCAAGTAGATCTTGAATCAGCTTTTCTATGAGTAGGAAACTTAACTGTTAGTTTTTAGTGAGAGTAATATATCGCAATTTATGTGAAAAAACAATATTACTGTTAATTACATTTTACATTCCTTAATTTAAAACTTCATACCTGTAAGACTGTTTATAAAAAATGGATTACTTTTAAGAACAGTTTGCTATACTATTGTACATATTATAATAGATATTATAAATGTAAAATATAACACATGGAAAAAATATGAATTTATAATTGTCAAAGAACACATGTATGATCTTATGATAATCGGACGTGAGTGTGGAAGTGTTGGATAGCTTCATACCTACATCTACATCCATCCTAAAGGATATATACTTCCTGTCCATGAATAAAAATTGAAATTTTTTTCAAAAATGAAGTAACTTCATACAGACTAAATTTTAAGAAGGCACATAGTCTGAGGTTTTCCATGTGTGTTCTATGTGTCTGAGGAATAAGAGCTATTAGAATCACATAACTTTCACCACTACTTGTGAATCTCATTATCAAGGCGATAATCAACGACATCCTACTTTTATTTGGCGATGCTTTGATTGGTGACATTATGGATAAAGTTCAATATACCTTTTTTTATTTATTTAGTAGCTTAATCAAAGTAGAGATTGGTGTGAACATAAGTGTTTGAGAGGAAGGTGTCAAATCTTCTTTTCACTCTTACTCTAACTTCATCCAAATCCTCAAGAAGTTGTTCAAAAACAAGAGTATTTTTGTGGATTTCTAACTGTAGGAAAAATTATCATTACATTTACCCCATATCTACGATTCTTTGGGCCGGTAGTATAGAAGAAGAAAGCATCTCCTGAAGAAAACATTTCTAGTGATACTTGTGGATCTAGAAAACAAATCAATTTGAATCACTTTTTTAGATTTCACGAAAGAAATTAGATATTAATAGATGAAGAAAAAAGTAATTGAAACTGATCAGGATCTTAATTGGTTACTTAAACTATGTAAGACAAAGTCGATTGTTTTTGTTTTTGTTTAAAAAAATTTGCAAAATCGAAAATTCTATTGAATCTAATCGAAGATTATCATGAAGAGTCTTTTTTTTCTGATCTTTTAAACTAACTCAATTTTATTTTTGGTATGAGAATGGTTTTTAGATGGATAATAAATCTAAATCGACTCTTTATGTTCATATTTTATCATACGTACGCTGATTGGAGAATATAATTTTTGATTTTCTTCACAGTATCGAAAGTGGGGATGTTGTATATCAAGCGGAATGTTCTTTTTTCTTTATTTTCACTTACTTGAGGGAGTTGAACTGATCGGTTTTGGAATAACAATTGGTACTGGCTGTAATAGTGGAAATGGCGGACGAGTTTCTTCCAATTGAACAATGTGAAGGTTTCCTTGATCAAGACAACCCATTACTTTGAATTGAGTACCAGCCATTAAAAGCACTTCATCTTCAGCTGTATAATATGAATGCTTGCGAATATCTCTAGCTGATTGACATTGTAAGGTGAACATTGTTCTGGTACCTGTCGTACCCAAAAATTGTTCTGATTTTAGAACACCAACAGCTGTTGTGCAAGATGAAAAACCCCACCAGACGATTGTTTTTCCTTCGACGTAACGCTCGCTCAAGTCTAATTTAACACCTCTGTATGCTACTTTTGGAAGCGGTGGAAGCCGAAATAGTGCATTAAGAAAGAGTCTCATAAACAAATACCATGGTTTAAGTTTTTGTTGTCGTTCAGATGATCGTAATGTATCATTCAAAACGAAGTATAGGCATTCATCGAGTGGTTCCCATCCCATTGTGTACAGCATAATTGATGCAGATTCATCTTGTGACAATCCATCAGCAGGATTCTCACATCTTTGTTTAGCAACATAAGCGTGACTCTGAATTTCTGGTAGGATCGAAACAAGTGGTTCGACTGCTTGTTCCAGTGAAACAAGAGGTTCTTTTCCATAACCGCTAATGGGTGCAAGAAATTCCAATAGCTCCTGGGCAATGTCCGCAATGCGTAAAATACGCTGTGCTGTTGCTTCTTGTCCTCCTCCTGTAGCCATATTCACCAAAAAGAAAATCCTTCACGAAATAATAAATATCTGAAAAATAATAAACGACAACTTTTATAGTATTATTTTTACCAATGTTGATCTTTTTGTCTCGTAAAAGTAATCAGCTATTACGATCATTGAACTTTTATTGCACTAGTTTATTTGATCTTATATAAATTTAAAGATCTACAATATGCGTAATTTTAGTTCCAGCACTGATGCGGAGATATCTTCTCATGGCGTTACCAAAGTAAGGTAAAATTTTTTATATTGAATTATAAATATGATAGAAATTTTTTCAATAGTAAATGCACACTATTTCCTTATGTATCAATTCTTCATTATCTAATTTTATATCGATTTTCTTAACATAAATTCCACTGAAATATAATTGTTTCTTCTAAAACATTTTTCAGAATTTGACGTCCTTTATATTTCAATTAATGACTAACGAGCTCCATTGAAAACTTCTGATCTGTAACTTTTTTTCTATTACATTTTTTTAGCAAAACTCATTGAACACTGATGGTATCAGTTTTGCAGGTATTAAAGCCCCTCTGTTGTCAAAAATCTATTTTCGTCCCAGAACAACCGATCTGATTGGAAATTTCAGGATATACACGTGTAGACCTAAAAACCTTATAATTAAAATTTCAGTCCGAAATATTGAGTTCTTCAAGAGTTATTCCTATATCAAGGATCCAAGAGTAGGTCTCCATGCATCCCAGATTTTCCCCCAGATTAAATGATACAGATCTCGGGTTTACATCGAAATATATCTAACACTTGCTGCTGCAACTTAACAGAGCCCGATTTTAGAAATTTTTTTTTATTAATTTTTCGTGTCAGTTTTCTTGAAAATTTCGAAAAATAGGTATAATCCTATGGAGAAAGATGCATTTTTTTCAAGAACTAAGTCAAAAATAAAAAATTCAGTTCCGTTTAGTCGTGGAATGTAATTGGTATTTCAATTTGAAACCCTCCCTGAGCTTTCTAGCATGCAAAATAGCTGAGAAATCTGGAACACACGAACAAAAAAAACTCGTCTTGAGAAAAACAACAGAAACAAAATTGAACCTTGAAAATCTAGTTTTTTCCTTCGTAGAGCGACTGACGAGAGATTACATTGATGGAATGCATGAAACGCACCTGCTAGAGCATGCAGGATATGTGTTCCAGATCAGAAGCCTATAGGCAAAGTCGCAGGGCTTCAAAAAATAAAATTTAACAGACATTTTCTACTTGTGAGTTTTTCACAAAATCCCTTGGAAATCGTGAAAAAACCATCAGAAAACCCCTCGAAACTGTCGTAAAAACTAAGAATAGTAGTGATTCCAAAAGTAGAAAATATCAGCTGTTCGACCATGTAGCAAGTTCAAAAATCGATATTTTTGGCAAAAATTGACATTTTGATAGGAGCCTTAAAAATAGTTATATTCTCCAATAAATGTAGAGAACAATGGATAAAAATAAATCTACAGATTTAGCTAGAAAAAAAAGCTTGTTCAAGCATTATTTTTATGACAAATGATTTACTCGGAGTTGTTTATCTAATGAATAAAAGTTTGAGAGGTTTTGATAGAAATTTGTCATCATGATAAAAGAGTATGGTAGTTTAGTGTTCCAACTAAAACCTCTTATCATCACAATTGATAATAAGACCATGTAATTAACATTAATTTCAAACAAAAGAATATAGGATTCTAGTTTTTATACGTAAAAAAGTGAGAATAAAGTTCATGTCATATTTTTTGGAAAGTGCCAGCTTTAAAGTTACCTATGATGCTTTACTACTCTCGTTTTATTTTAAAAAAACAGAATAAGCTGACGCACTATTGCATGCTTCTTACTCGAAATATTTCTGTCATTGCTAAAAAGCAATCATAATTTGCATATATTCGATTAAACGAAAGACAATTAAGAAAGAAGTCTTCTTGTCGTTTTCGTTTCAATGAAAGATCTTCAAATTTCTTTACACTATTTTCATCCTAAAAAATCTCCTCAAGTGATCGGTAATGATGATTGATGATGACGGAACGTACAACAGTGGTCATCTTCTGTTGGCTTCAGTGGCGTTTTTATCCATTCGTCATTGTTAATTTACTGTCAAAAGCAAATCTAAACAATTTTTATTTTGTACAGCTACACCTTGAACACATCTTTCTAGTAGAGTTAGACCTCTTCTATTGCTCCCAGCATTTTCTAGAGAATATACGAATAAAATATAGCAATGAAATAAATTAGTGTATTACGAATCGGCGAAAAATCTTGTTTTTTGAAGAATGAAACACCTCTTCGTTTTTTTTTCAATGAATACTTCTACTTATTGAATTTGGTTGAGATTACAAAATCATATTAACATAATTAAAGTCATCATTTTTCATTACTCTGCTACAAAATTAAAATTAAAATCGATTGGAAACAGTCTTTTTGAGCGAATTATGACCAGATGCAAATCAATTACTATACGCAAAAAAAAGTCTGACATTAATCGATTTTTATTTTGACTTTATGGTATGATACAGTGGTTGATAGTCTCACGTACGGAACGTTTCAAGTTACAAGAAACTTTTGAGATGAAACTTTATTTATTAAATAGAATCTATTAAGACCAGATAAAGTCTAGAATAAATCGTGCTCTTAAGACGTCCTTCTTAAGTTTAATCCAATTTATCAAGTTTTTGATTTTTATTGAAGTATTTAATAGAATCGAAAATTGCAATATTAACTATACTAAAAGAGAAACCGATGGAATTCAGCTGGAAATCTGTTGAATGACAATTTGATCGACTTACTGAGAATCTGCCTTTAACAAACTCTCATTCGTTATGTTTTATCCAGAACTACTTGCAGACAATATGATTATATGCTACATCTGTCTTGTAACGATCAAACCGCACTCTGTTACATAGAAACTTGGTATATGTAATTAAGTTAAAGGTACAAAATATATTCAATTCGATAGAGTTTAGCAGAAGAAAAATCTGTATTCTTAATTAACAGATATGACCTATATGTGGTTCTACTTATTAAATGATAAATCTAAAGTCTAAGTTTCTCGTCTTTTTTTTTGCTATTGACACGCTTCTTTCATGAAAAAAAAATGCTTCTTATTACACTCAAATTTAGTAATACTTCGTATTCAATATCTTTTTACCTTTCATCGACGAAATTACAAGAAAAAATATGTTGAAGTTTACTTCATAAATTTCTAGTAGTATCATATTAGTGGTAATGAATGTATTTCATGAATTCAGTTTGTGTTCTTTACGTCTCAATGGCAAAAGAAAAATGACAGTAGCAGAATTGAGACTCTGTTTTATTTCACAAAACTCTCAGTTTTCTTACGTGATAAATGATCATATTTATCATAGCTGCAGTTACATACAGCTCTTACTTTGCGGGGTATTTTATTCTACATTCGGCTACTTGAACTGTTTCGTCTCTGAAAGAATAGATCACAAAGAGTACCATATTTTTTTGGATTTTCTACTTTCAACTTTATGTTTCCTCACTAGTCAAACATTTTCTGTCTGATTCAGATACAAGTTGTTACCTGATCGCTCCATTATTTGATATGATGATCTTGTTTCAGTTTTCATTTATTTTTTTTAGTGTTTCTTTGATATTCAACTGAATTTATTTGTTTTAATTTGTTGCTATTATGAATAGAGAGTTCTCATAGAAGTCTTTGTTCCACACTTCGCACAACGCTAGCTAATCTGACGGTTTGCTTTAATAATGTAATAGGAATATATAACAGTTGCCATAATAGGAATCAAAAACATGTTTCGAAAATCACTGACATCACTGTATTGAAGAAGCATTGTTGATACTAACTCATAAAATTCATTTAATTTGAGAGTTTAAGATTTGTTAGCTCTGAAATCCTGACTCAATTCAGTTAGATGAGATGTATCATCAAGAACGCAATTCTGATTGAAATATTTCTGTTTGACAGCAGTCTTTTTAGATTGATGATTGTTCTACAGGTAAGCATTGCAAATTACTAAAACACCTTTGATTTTCTAATCCTGAAGAAAATAGTAGAATATCTGGCAAATGTCTCCAAGTTCGAAAGTCCTAGAATTGACGAAATTTAAAAATCTATTGCAAAAGCAAATATTTTAATACTAAATACTATATGATAGTCTTAGAACTCAAGAAACACTACGAACTCTCTGATCTTATAAAACCGCAGAACTAAAATAGTTGGAGAAATTCACACAGCTCTGAGTATTCTAGACACTTGTAAAATCTATGGTTTTCAATGAACTCATTGTGAGAGCTGCTTATTTTTAATAATTGAATTAAATGGTAAAAGGAATTTTCTATTACCAAACTTTTCAACTTCTACCGAACAAAAAGTCACCAACACTTGCTCACAGTCTCACCCACATTTACAGTATAACATTTGTAGTTTTCATTTAACTATTCACTAGTCTTCACTATAAAATTACTGAACCGTTCAAATCAAATTTTAGGTATTAAAAAAATGATTTAAAAATTTGCCATCTCAAATGATTATATGTGGACCCATCAATGTTTCGTTTATTCTCAGCTGTGCAGACGTTCTTTTACAATGTTTAATTACGTATGTAAGTATAAAGAAACACTCTTTGTGATATAAATTCACTCTGGAAATCATAAATCTCGACTTACACCATAATTATATATGACCGACCGTGCGATTAAAAGCTCACAATAGCCTCAACTGTGCATAAGTTCTGCGTAGAAGGTTTTCATAATTCTTTTCCAAGTAGAAGTCACTACAATACAGTAATTTAAGTAAAATCAAGCCTAATTTGATGAAAT